TATTAAAATCTGATTCAGAAATAAAAATAAAAATAGTATATTAAAAGATATACAAAGTTAAAAAAATTCTTAAAATATTTTTTCAATTAAAGAAAAATAACTGAAAATGCATTCGTTAATAATAACTAATTTATTTTATTATTTTTACTAATAGTTTAACCTAACACGTGGTAAATATTTATAATATATGATTAAAATGTATAATAAATTATATATACAAATAAATATTATGCTTAAATATATAAATTATATTTAGAATTTACATAAATAAATATTTTTAAATAAGGATGACAAAACGGATTAACCCACCCATTAAAAGCTCATCATACCATTAATCCGTAAAAAATGAATCAAGTTAAATTAGTTCGTTAAGTATAAATGAACTAAATACTCTGATCCATCCCGTCTAAAAAAATTATAATAACTCTCTCATCGAAAATTAAATCTTAAAAATATTCTTAAGATAGTTGTTTACATTTAATATATAAAAATTGATATATAAAATTATTAGTATAAAATTTTATTTTATATAATAAAAAATTATAATGAATAATTACTTTTTTCAAAAAAAAATATTATAATTTAAATTTGTAATAAATAAATATTATAATTTAATTATTTTTAATTATGTTAATTTCTTTTAAAGATATTGAAATTTGATTTAAAAATAGATATGAAAATGATAAATTAGATGAAATAATAAATTGAGAAAAAAAATTCACAAAAAAAAAAATTATTAATGAAAGAAATATAATTACAAAAGCTTTTTTTAAAATAATTAATAACATTTTCGTTTAAAGGAATTATTTTAATTTATGTAGGGAGAAATATAGATAAAATCATCATTGAGAGTTTCTTTTAAAAACAAGATCAAATTTAGTTAAAAATAATATATTGTTTGATATTAGAGGTTATAAAAAAAAATCTATAATATGTTCTTGTTGAATAAATGTAAGATTCATCAGGTTATTATAGTATTACTGAATAACTACTTTGTAATAGAAGACTAAACAATATATATTAGAACTAAAGGTTATAATACAACTAGTAACTAGTATCAAATATATATACATGTCATATCAAAATATAGTACTAAGTACAAAATAAATTTAAATGTTCGCATTTATACAAAATTTGACTACATAAGAATAGCCATCAAAACTAGCCATCTCTAATGTAACTATTCTCCAAACTATACAAACTATCTTTCTAATCCTGTCATGATCTCATACCAAGTATAATTATCATAGTTTCAACCACAAGAAAAATACAGGATAAACTTGTAAAAAGAATTTAACACAACAATTTATAAACAACATTATCATAACATGTTTAACATATAATTAACATTAAGCACCTTTCAGTGACTACCACATGATCAACATGAAATCAACATCACCCTCATATCAATATTGAACATATAACATCATAACAATAATTTCAGCATAACAACTTAATCAACTTTAGTATATTCAACATTTCAATGTATACGTCACATTTAGTGTGTCGCCACGCATGTTAACTACAGAAATTTTTTACATCTTATGGTGAACAATTTAAGTGACATAACTTTATTAAATCACAATGGTTGGTATAATACCAGAACCAACAGTTAACACTGAGGCAAAAAATAACAATTAGCAAAAGTTAGATTGATTTCTCAGGTTTTACCACTTAAATAAAAAGTATGGTATTATGTAAGGAAAAAATAGTTTGGGTATGGGATTAACTCATTAATTGCCCTACAAATATTGTAATCCTCCGATATTAGGTTAAAGACTAAGTCTCAGACCTATTACTTTACTCAGTTAGTCATTTTATACATGTGTGATTTGACATTACCCACGCACAGATACCACATAGAACTTAGAGGAGACAACTGAAAAATAATTTACCCATTCAGAAGTCAACTTACTCGAAGGATTTTAATTTGGGCTCATAGAGCACCATAATGTATATCTGCATAATTGGATATTAAGTTCAAAAACATCTTTAAATTTCCTCTTTTATGTATCATTACTAAGACTTGTATCAAATCACATATCTTTAGCTTGTTAACTTAACAACTTTATCATCTTTCAACATTCAACTCACACAACATTCAACTTTAAACTTTACAACATATTAACTTAAACAACGTAAACATCATACATCTTTGCAGCATTAACAACTTTGATTGAACAACATTAGAAATCATCTTAAGCAACTAAAACAACTTACAACTTTGCAACATATTCAATTTTCTACATATCAACACATATAGCATCTTACAATACCACTTATACAACTTATTCATCATTCATCAATTGTAAAACAATTTCAACAACCAACTTTTCATCATAAAATTCACGCCCAGTACCACTCACTAGGCATCCAACACCATTGAAGCAAGGAGCTCCCTATCTCGCCCACACTCGATTCGCACCACTCGTTCCCAACATGATTGAGGTAAGGGGTGTCCCACGCTCCTGCACCTGGCGTGACAATACCCATGTCTAGCCCCAATTAGGTAGAAAGCTTTCTGCCTAACTCAGGCTCGACATCACACACTTTAGCATCCAGTGTGAACCCAAGTAGAGATAAGTATTTCTCCTCACATCCGACACCATTCAACCCACGCCCGATGAGACTCTAATATGAGATGAGTCTCTCTCCTCATATTCAACACCATCAATCTTATGTTCGACATGATTGAGACAGAGATCTCTTTAAAGTTTCGTTCGGTGCATAACCTTATTTCACCAACTCTCCTAAAAATTAGCAAATCCTAACATCATTCAACACAATAAACATAATTTCATCATCAAAATCAATATGCAACTACAATTCAATCAAGAATCAAGCATGAAACTCCATGAACACCCTTTGAACAACAAAACCCACAAAAACCCTCTCAACTTCATCATTCAATCACTCAACACCTTTAATTAATTTATTTCAATCACCACAACAAACAAAATGCACACCTAAATTAAAAATCACAACTTCCCTTACCTCTTGGAGACTCAAATCCATAAGAGGAGAAGAAAAGGAACTCCATACAACCCCAACTTGAATTTTATGTTTCTACAAGCTTGGATTCTAACCCACAACTATTAGGATCAGCTGAGCAAATGGTAGAAAGGGAAAGTTCTAGTATGAAGGAAGAAGAAAGAAGGGAGAAGGAGGGGATAAACTCTCTCTAGCTTATTTCTAGAGTTCTTGAAAAACTTAAGTTATACACTTCCTTTTAAAAAAATTTATTTTATACCTTTTTCATGAGTTAGACTCTACTTATCACTAGTCTAACCTTTTAAAGATCAACCTGCTCTCAGGATAATCCAACCCCAAAGCTCTCAACAGCATTTATCAAATCAAACAACAAAATTATGAAATGACAGAATTATAATAAATATAGCTAAAAACATTTTTATGAAAATTGATGCCTAAAAATACTCTAATTTGAGATACATATTCTAGCTAGTTTAATATATAGGATGAATTCAATTTAAAAATAAAAATGATAGATAAAAAAGATAAAAAAGTTAAGAAAAAAATTCTAAAACACTATTATTAAAGAAAAAATAATTAAAATCCCTTTCATTTAAAAATAGTTCTTAATACGATTTATTTTAAGATAATTATTTTAATTTATATATAAAAAATATAAATAAAATTATTATTGATAATTTATTTTTAAATAATTTTAAATTTAGATGGAGATAATATATTATTAAATATAAGAGGCTATGGAAAAATTTCAAAAATACTTCATTAAAAATATAACTAAATAGGTTATCAATCATTAGAAAAGATATCTTAAAAATAAAATAAATGATATGTTTTAAATTTTTATAGTATATAGAATTAAATGCTTAGTATATATATTAAATAAAAAGTATTAAATCAAATATGCAAATTTTAAAAAATTTGAAAATTATTTGATACTTTGTTTCATTAATTCAAATCAATGTATAAAATAATTTTATGATTATTTGTCAATTTGAATTACTCCTGGAGTAAACAGATCTCTTCTTTCTCTCCCTCTCTCTCTATATATATATGAAGGTTATGAAATATTATTATAACAGTTATGAAATTATCTATTTCATCTATTTTATCTTACAAGTTTCATATCTTGAATCAATCAAAAGTTAATTTAAAATTGTATCTCAAAATTAAAAATGAGCAAAACAATCCAAATATATAAAATAAATGATCCTAATAAACATTTTAACAAATAAAAGAGATCAAAATCCTCTTAAAAGAAAGATTAAAATGAATCTTAAAAAAGAAAATAAAATAATTAAAAGTATAATTTAATCAAATATATTTAAAATTAAAATTAAATTACATTATTTTTTTTATAAAGTTACATAATTAAAAAAAAAAGAAACCTTGATACGATACAAATTAGCTTGAATCTGAAACTTGATCATATAAAATAGGTTTAAACTTAATTTTATCTTCCAAAATTATTTTGAAAATTGTTAATTATTTTCACTTGTATACGTTGTTTTTTTTCACCATGATTTTGTAAATGGACAATTGATTAAAAAAATAAATAAAAACAAAAAAAAAAAAAATCTCTTAATAGTGAGAAATAGAAATATCAACAAAAAAAAAAAAAAAAAAACACTTAATTGATTAGATATTAGTCTGAATTTTGTCGATCTCTTGTGATGTGTATAGGTCACTGGGTCCAAATCAGCTCCTACCTAAACAACACGAGAACATCATGGCGGCGTGTCAAACGTGGCACTAATAAGTATCGGATATTTAGCGGTGTATTTTGTACTATTTTGCTACAATACAAATAGCCAACCACATGGCATCATGATAAATGTATCTTATGATGTGGGAACTTCCCGATTCAACCCTGCTCGTGACGCATTCATTTGCTTACACGTGTTTGGCTATATTTTCTTTGTCTTCCTTGGTTATCATGGTAATCCCCCAAATCGCATATCATCCAGAATAATTAAACTAATGTCCACATATTACAAGAATATATAATATGAATGCTATGCCTCACAATAACTAATAGCTATACCTTTAGTAATTAATTAATTCACTTTCTCCTGCACGCCTTATCAAATCTCTATTTCAACTCTTTCTCTGCTTTGGTACATGTACTAGTACAACTGTGTCTACCTCGGTTCTATCTCAATTCTTAAGGTTTGGTCCATTGTGTTTCTTTTTCCTTTTTCTTTTTTTTTATGTTTTGGTTTTGTTCCTGTTCTTGTTTTCTGCCTCAGTTTGTGGGATCACACCAACTTGTTTCTTAGTATGATTTCAGCACATGTTATTATTATTTGTTTACTGTACACAGTTGGAGAGTGAGAATGTAATCGAGATTATAATATTTTATAATTATACTATTGCCACTCTGTATGCATGCATGTGTTTCTTGATATTGAAATCAACAGAAATAGAATTGGAATATTTAGAATTGTTGCTTTTTCTATTGCAATCAAATTTTTATGTGAAGGTTTTAAAGATTGTATAGTTTGAGAGGATGAATCTGATTACTGCTGCGAATTCTGTCATGAACTTTTGACTCCGATCTATCATTATTCATTAGTCTTTGGTTATCATTTATATTGATATGTAGTCAAAGAAAAACACAATTTTCTGAAACAATTTTTGAAGATTGAAATGAGTATTAATGCTTCTATGCTTTTCCAGACTGTGGGTACACACTCAGGAAAATTATCCACCAAAATTTTGAGTCAACTTCTGAAGTTCCTCGCCTATTTGACACGCATGCATGTACAATTTCTTTGGTTGTGCTTGGCATAGACACAGCAGGTGATGAAGGAAAATGTGCTGGGTCTCTGAGATTCATAAGGTTATGCGCTTGCTTTCACTGCCCTGCTTAATACTTGGTAACAGAGGAGCAAAAATCTCTGGCTTATTCTTCCACTACTCCTTGATGCACATTTTGCATGCAAGTTTTTTTGTTATGCTTGTTGTGTTAGAACATTACTTACTTGAAGATGGTTGAATAGCTTAATTTCTATTTATTATTTATAATTGTAAATGATATTGAAATTGTAATTGGCTTTGGGAATGCTATCTTGTTTTGTGCTTACTTCAAAGTTTTCTATGGAGAACACATCAAATATCTTATTGCAAAAATATGAACTGGGAAGGTTACTAGGCCAAGGCACGTTTGCAAAGGTTTACTATGCACGTAGTACAATAACTAACCAAAGTGTGGCTATTAAAGTGATTGACAAGGATAAGGTTATCAAAACTGGACAAGTTGATCATATCAAACGCGAAATATCTGTCATGAGGCTGGTCAAGCATCCAAATATCATTGAGCTTTTTGAGGTCATGGCCACCAAGAGTAAGATTTACTTTGTTATAGAATATGCTAAAGGTGGAGAGCTGTTTAAGAAAGTGGCCAAAGGAAAGCTTGAAGAAGAAGTTGCACACAGATATTTCAGGCAGCTAGTGAATGCAGTAGATTTTTGTCACAGTAGAGGTGTATACCACAGAGACATAAAGCCGGAGAACATTCTATTGGATGAAAATGAGAATTTGAAGGTCTCAGATTTCGGGTTAAGTGCCCTGGCTGAGTCCAAACGGCAAGATGGCTTGTTGCACACAACTTGTGGAACACCTGCCTATGTTGCTCCTGAGGTCATCAAAAGGAAAGGTTATGATGGTGCCAAAGCTGACATTTGGTCTTGTGGGGTAGTTTTGTTTGTCTTGTTGGCTGGTTATATTCCTTTTCAAGATCCGAATTTGATGGAGATGTATAGGAAAATAAGTAAGGCAGAGTTTAGATGTCCTAGTTGGTTCCCAAAAAGGGTTCAGAGGCTGTTGAGCAAGATGTTGGATCCGAATCCGGACACTAGGATTTCTATAGATAAAATTAAGCAATGTTCTTGGTTTAGGAAGGGACCAAATGGTGGACAGATAACTCAAAGGAAAAACAGGAGTATCTCTTCATCGGTTACAAATCATTGTGAACAATGTGGTGATGAAAGTCATAGTTTAGCAGCAGAAGCACAGCAAGAGCCAATTGTGCCGGCTAGTATAAATGCTTTTGATATCATCTCCCTTTCACCTGGTTTTAATCTTTGTGGTTTCTTTGAAGACAGTTTTCAAAAAAGGGAAGCAAGATTTACAACAAGACAACCAGCATCAGTCATTATCTCTCGACTAGGAGAAATCGCAAAGCGGCTGAAGCTGAAAATAAAGAAAAGGGCTGCAGGTTTGTTGAAATTGGAGGGCTTTCAAGAAGGTAGAAAAGGGATTTTATCCATTGATGCAGAGATCTTTGAGGTCACTCCACTTTTGCATTTAGTGGAGGTGAAGAAATCAAATGGAGATACATTGGAATATGAGAAAATATTGAAAGAGGACATAATGCCTGCTCTTAAAGATGTTGTTTGGATTTGGCAAGATGACCAAGAACATTCACAACAGTTGGAGCAACAGCAGCAACAACAATCAGAGTCATAAATTCAACATTTTCTTAATTTTCAATGTCTCATGCCTATTATTTCTTCATCACGTAATATGTAATTTTGCTTTCTATAATGCTATCTCTATATATCTTTGTTCTGTTTGGCAAAACCATGACCTTATTGTAATTCGTCTTGTATCTCAAATTCTGTTGACAGATGTTTAGTTTGAATGTTTAATGACTCCTCATTTTCTAAGGACATGACTGAATAACTAAGAACTGAGAGTCTTAGTGACAGATGTTTAGTTTGAATGTTTACTTCTTTTTTTTTATTAATTATTTCTAGCGAACAGTTTTTCCTTTTATATACAAATACCTGCTTCTGAAGGTAATTGAGTCACTAATCAAACACAATTAATTTTAATAAATTAACCTTATAATTTAAAGTTTAAAATACACCTCGTCACTCTTCTCTGTCTAGAATACTGATTTTCACTAACAGTTGTTTTGAAGCTGAGTAGAACTGATTTTAACAGAAATGAGATTTGTATTTAAATTAATTTTAGTTACAGGTTTTATATTAGAACATTATTTTTTTTATGAAAACTAGACAGATCTTTACTTTCAGATATGAAGCTACTGTCTACAACCTGAATTATATTCTTCGAAAACCAATTCTAATAAAGCCAATACTCCGCGCAGCAAGAGAAAGTCTAAACTTGTACAAAAAGTTCCAAAATTATACTTGTCTTTTATGAAGAACTTCATAGAAATTGTGAAGATTTTTTCTTTAGACTGGGTGAAGTAAGTTGCATTCTGTGTGTGTGTTTGGACATCCTAGATTATCATATTCAACCAAAAAAAAAAGTGAAGTCATCCTACCCAACCAATGAAAAGGTTTAATTGTATTTTTATTTTTTAGTCAGACTTAATAAGCGAAGGATGTTGATTGCAGAAAAATAAAATCTCTCATGTATCAAATTTTAGTCTCTCATTCTAATAAAGATTGTATTTTAATAAACCTTTTTAAGTCTCTCATATTCTAATTATAATAACTGATGAATTAGATAAGTTTTCTTTCATTTATAGTCAGTCCTTCTATCTAATTTCATCAAATATTTAAGTCGTTAATTTATTCAAAACAAAAGATATTCCTTTTATTGTTCGTTACTCTCATAAAAATAATAATTTAGGTATAAGTCTAGTTAATGGTACACTGTTTTTATTCTTACCAGCTAACATAACAGGTTCATGCTAGTGTCCTTTTTTTTTTTTTTGTGAATGGTGTGATGTTAGCTAATTTTGTTAAATATTGGATGAAGACTCGATTATAAACGAGAGAAAACTTAAACCACACAACACAGGGAAAGTTAAAATGAAAATTTTCCCATTTACAACTTTACACAAAATCAAGAAGCAATTACTAACAGAGAAGTCTAAGCCACATGTTAAGTAAGGGAGTAGATAAAGGTATTATTGCAGAAATGTTATGATTATTACCATTGAAAGTAACTATACATATAGCAAATGAACCGCTAGAGAGAGAGAGAGAGAGTGGAAATGGAAATGGAAAATGGAAAATGGAAAATGGAAAGTCGAAAAATTAATTATATAAAAAAAAACACGTGGTTGTTGGCTAGGTCTGCATTAACTTTTGTCTTTTGTTGCTGCTATCTGAAGGTGGCTATGATGTCAAGGCAACAATTGTGTGTCCTGGAAGTTGCTTATTGTGAATGAAAAAAATTAATATTGTTGCATGTCATCTATCTGTGTTACTTGCGTAGTCAATGGTGGCAAAAGGTAAGTTGCAGTTATTGGTATAATGACATTTTTTTACTTTGAATTATACTGACTTTTAATTTTAATGATTGTTGGTAGTATTTGTTTCATTTTAATTTTTGATTTGTGATTTTAATAGTCATTTAAGAGTATTTACAATATTATTTTTATAGTATTTATCTATTTTTAATAAAATGTCAGCAATCTAATATTTTATTTTATAAATACTTTATAAAAAGGTATAAACATCACACTTTAGGGAAAAAAAAATATTCTTTGCACTTCATTTTTTTAAAATTTTTTGGACATTGTTTGTAAGGTTATAATGTAACTTCGAGTGTATGGATGTGAACATGCCACTTTTAGTAAATTAGTTATTGGATTGTACTAGAAATCCATTAAAAATTTGTTTTCAATACAATGGTTTTTGTCATAACACAACTTTTATTTTTCTATAATTCCTTCAATCTGAAAGCAAAATTTTTATAATGGCTTTGTTGCTCAATAATACTTTGTGTGATATTTCTAACCTCGAACTATTTGATGGAAAAAATTATAAGGAATGGTCACGAAGATTGCTCATTTTTTTCAAACAATTCAAGGTTGACTATGTTTTATTTAAAGATATACCTACCATTCCTCTTGAGGGAAGTAATGAGGATTTCAAAGTCACAATTAAGACAACTAAGAACCATGAAAAACATAACAAATTGTTATATGTGGTCATCTTCTTAATCATATGCCTACCAATCATTTTTATTCTCTTTATCTTAAACAAGTATGCAAAATCTATTTGGGAGACACTTGAAAATAAATATGGAGCGGATGATGCTGGTAGTCATAAATATGTTACTAAAAAATGCTTACAATTTTAAATGGTCAATGATAAACCAATAATGGAGCAAATGCATGAATATGAGAACTTGGTTGTTGATGTTCTAAATGAAGGCATTAAAATCTGTTAGACATTATAAGCAAACATATCCTACTCAAAAAACTTCCCTTTTATTGGAATGAGTTCAGAAACCATTTAAAACACAAGAAAGACTTCACCCTGCAAAAACTCATTATCTACATGAGGACAAAGAAGCAAATCATATCAAGGATAAGTCTCTTTCTACCCCCCTCTTAATTTTTCTAATGCTAATCTTGTTGAATCTGTTGGTACTTCAGTCAAGGAAAAATTTCAAAGAAATATAGGAACAACGAAAAGTACGCAAAACAAAGACAAAAAGCAGTTCAACAAGTACTATGATAAGGCCTAGAAAAAATAAGATGACTTTTTTTGTGTGCGAGTAAAATGGGCACAAAGCACATTAATGCCATTTTTGCAAGAACAAGCCAAATAGCAATTAGAAAGGACAAATTATTGGTCATTAATTGAAGCAAAACCTCAAGCAAACTTGGTAGAAGATGAGGAAGTCATTGTTGCAATAAGAGAAACAAATTTGGTTAATAATGTAGCCAATTGGATATTGGACACAAAAGTTATAAGACATATTTGTGCAAGCAAGAGATTATTTCAAGAGTTTGAGGAAAATGTCAATGAAATAACTATTTACATGGGAAACTCTACTATTACTGGAGTGTGCGGTAAAGGAAAAATTCTTCTCAAACTCAATTCTGGTAAAACCTTGGCCTTGAACAATGTCTTATATGTTCTTGAAATGCATAGGAATCTAGTGTTTGGGGCTTTACTTAATAAAGCAGGTTTAAAAATGGTGTTTGAATCTGATAAAGTCATTATAACTAGGAATGGAGATTTTGTGGAAAGGGGTATTTATCTGGAAGTTTGTTTATTTTAAACACTGTTAAAATAAATGACAATGGTTCTAGTTCTGCTTATATCGTTGAATCTATTAATCTCTAACATGGACGACTAACACATATTAATATGGCTCCTATTAAATGATTATGTAATATGAACTTGTTACCTCTAATAAAAGAAGATTTTATTTATAAATGAGTTGTTTGTACAAAAGCCAAACATACAAAGTCATCCTTTAAATTAATAACTTTTAGAGAAATTGAACTCTTTGGATTAGTGTCATCTAGCTGATTTTGAAAATACTATAAGTAAAGGAGGAAAAAAAATATTATATTACTTTTATAAATGATCATTCTCGATACACAAAAGTTTATCTTTTGAAAACTAAGGATGAAGCTAAAACTATGTTTTTTAAGTACAAGGTAGAAGTAGTAAATCAATTAAATCAAAAAAATAAAAAGATTGAGAGTAGATAAGGGTGGTGAATATATACCAACTAGCCTTAAAGAATTATGTGAAAAGATTGGCATGATACATGAGTTTACTACATCCTACACACCACGACAAAATGAAATAACTGAAAGGAAAAATATGAATCTTAAAGATATGATGAATGCCATGATAATTAATTATGATATGCTTGACTATATGTGGGGGAAGTTATTTTAGTTGCATGTTATATTCTTAGCAAGGTCCCTCATAAAAAATTGGATAAAACTCCTTATGAGCTATGGAAAGGTCTTCCTCCCAATCTTAATTTTTTTTTTAAATGTGGGGTTTTTGGCTAAAGTTGGACTACCAAGTTTTAAAAGAACAAATATTAGTTCTAAAAAAATCGATGTTGTTTTTATTAGTTATATCCAAGATAGTATTGCGTATAGATTCATGTGCTCAAATAATAATTCTATATTAAAATCTTGAGATGCTAAATTTTTTTAGCATGTTTTTCTTGAGAAAAAAATGAATTATTTGGGTGATGTTGTTACTTTTGTTTCTATCCCTAATCGTGTGCAAAATGTTGATATATGTGAATCAAGAAGAAGTAAAAGGATCATAACAAAAACAAACTTTGGTCCAAATTTTATAACATTTTTCTTAACAGAAATAGAAGATATTGATAAAAATAATGAAGAAATTATATATGCTTATATGTTAGAAGAGGATCCAAAGACATATGAAGAAGTAAAAAAATCAATAGACTCTATCTTTTGAAAAGAAGCTATTAAAAGTGAACTAGATTCCATAACAAGTAATAATACTTGGGAACTAGTAGATTTGTCCAAAGGTTGTAAAATCATAGGTAATAAATGGATTTTTAAAAGAAAATATAGGCTTGGTGGATCAATAAAAAAATTTAAGGGAACATTAGTTATCAAGGCCTTTACTAAAAAGTATTGACTTTTTTTATACTTATTTACCGGTAACAAAAATTGTCATTGTGTGTGTTTTAATAGCTTTAGCAATAATTTATAATTTGGTTAATTATACATCAAATGGATGTAAAAATAATTATTTTTCTAAATGGAGATTTAAAAGAAGAAATATACATGAAGCAACTAGAAGACTTCATTGTACCCAGACAAGAACACAATACATGTAAGGTTAAAAAAATCTTTGTATGGTTTAAAATAGACACCTAAACAATGGTATGAAAAGTTTAATAATATATTGGTTAATTATGGGTTTGAATTAAATGCTTCAGACTCTCG